TCCTCTCCTGTCCTCTCCTGTCCTCTCCTGTCCTCTCCTGTCCTCTCCTCTCCTCTCCTCTCCTCTCCTCTCCTCTCCTCTCCTCTCCTGTCTTGTCTTGTCTTGTCTTGTCTTGTCTTGTCTTGTCTTGTCTTGTCTTGTCTTGTCTTGTCTTGTCTTGTCTTATCTATCTATCTATCTGTCTATCTATCTATCTATCTATCTATCTATCTATCTATCTATCTATATACGTATACTTATATAATATACATACGATATACATTCAAAGGGTTCGAGGCTTTCTTGTCAACAGGTCAACCGCACAATGACATTGTGATTTGCAAGCACCTAGAGCAGACCGCGAACGCGGGCTTGGGGCTCACCATGAGTTCCTACAGCGAGCTCATGCAGAAGCACAGCCAGTGAGGCCGAAGCATTGGAGGAGCATTTTGCTGGCCTCCCCCTAAACCCTAAAGTTTAGGGTTTACGGTTTGGGAGCCAAAACCAATTCTAGATGCGAAGGATCCATGCGACCAGCACGTGCGCACGGCTCTTGCCGTTTTGATCGTACACGTAGCTCCTGATCCCTAAACCCTAAACCCTAAACCCTAAACCCTAAACCCTAAACCCTAAACCCTAAACCCTAAACCCTAAACCCTAAACCCTAAACCCTAAACCCTAAACCCTAACTGGACTCGGACCTGACTGACCAGGAGTACAGCGACGGGCAGTGGAGCTCCAGGAGTGGGCAGCTCATCAGAGCCGGATCTCCGACCACCTGGGCTAAGGGATTAGGGTTTAGGGTTTAGGGTTTAGGGCCTAAACCCTGAACCCGTGGTATCCCGTGTGGAACAACTGGGCCCCGTCCGACGAGATGCTGGAAAAGGCGGAGAGGCAAGCCTGGCAAGGTAGGCGCTCGGGTTTGGGTTAAAATGTACGGGCCTTCATAGTTAGAATAATGTTTCGCGGGTTCCTTATTCTAATTATTGCACAATATACCCCCCAAACCCTATTCTAATTCTTAAGGCTTCTACATTAGGGTGGGGATCTTGAGGAGGGTGCGGGCTTGAGTTCGCGTGTTAAGCAGACACATAAAGTACTCGACGAATGAGGTTGTGCTTTGCGAGCTGGGGAAGGAACCAGAAACGGTCGAAAATTCATGAAAAGCTGTGAAAAGCTCGGAAAAACTAGGACAAAGCTATCGCAAGCCTTACAAGGCGATTACGAATTCTATCCATCATTCTTGCTTCAATATTTCGTAGCACGCACCTTCATTTTCCACGAAGCGAAGCGCTGGCTTCAGTCTCGCCGCTGGCTGTTCGGGGGCCTCCCAATCTCGACCTCCCGTCTGCTATGAAAGCCTGCAAAAAACAGTGTAAGCTAGCGGCCTTAATAGTTAGAATAGGGTTTGGGGTGTACTATACAAAAATTATATTGGGGAGCCTCCAAAGTCTTATTCTAATTTCTTAAGGCCCCCTACATTAATTAATCTAGGCAAAGCACAAAAAGCTTGAAGGAAGCTAGAAAGAACTAAACCAGTTGAAAAAGTATGGGGCAAGCTGGAAATCGACTTAGGAATTCCTAGCAACGCAGGTTTTTGGTAAAGGGGATATAAGTTTCTTCTTCGCGCTGTGCCCAGAGAAACTACGTATAGGGTTTAGGGTTTAGGGTTTAGGGTTCAGGGTTTAGGGTTTAGGGTTTAGGGGTGGGTTTCTCTGTTGCATTGCATTGTAGAAGTCTGTGCAAAGTTTGAAGGAAGTGCTTGAGGATGCAGGATTTTCGGCTCCACTGCCCAACGGCATAGGCGTTGGTCAACTAAAGCATGTTTGTGACATTTCAGTGGTATGGGTGCTAGTCGACATGAGACAACTCGGGCAAAGAACTACGCCAAAGTCTCGAAATTCTGAGACCGAAATGCCAAACCCCAAGCTTTATCTTCCTTTCTCCCTCAAGCCGGGGCGGATGCAGTTCTTTTCTTGGCCAAGGTCCTTAACCAGGCCTGGGTATAGTACTTGTCTCAAAGCCGGTGACAGCTCCCCAAATCACTAAACCCTAAACCCTGAAGCCTAAACCCTAAACCCTGAACCCTAAATCCTGAACCCTCAACCCTAAACCCTAAACCCTGAACCCTAAACCGTTAACCCGAAACCCTAAACCCTAAGGCCGAAACCCATAACATCCTTACAAGGCCCTTTGAAAAGCGCCCTGGCCTTTTGCAGCCCTGTACCCCAGAACGCCATGAGCCCGCAGATCCCGTCGAAAGCCCTTGAAACCCGTAGCATGCCCGACCCGGTTTAGGGTTTAGGTTTAGGGTTGCCCCCAACCCTACACCATCTTAGCTAAACCCTAACCCCCCCCTCAAAAAAAACAAGCAAACCAGCAAACACACAACAACAAACCCAAACCCCCCAGGTACCTACTATATAGGGCCCTAGGGGCTCTAGGACCCTATATAGTAGGTACCTGGCGGGTTAGGGAAAAACCTCACTGAATGACCTCATGAGGTGCATGTCTCACTGCCGAGCAGATCGCGGAGTTGGAGGCTTGAGCTGAGGGTTTACAGAACGGTTTAGGGTTTAGGGTTTAGGTCTTACAACCCTTTCAGAAACCTATTAAAATGTGTATAAGCACAAGTATGATGCTACCTTCGTAGAAATGTTTGATCCCTTATAACTTATAATACCCTTATAGCCCTAAGCCCTAAACGCCTTGACCCTTCTACAGTGCTTAATATAAGGGCCTTAATACTTAGAACAGGGTTTTGGGGCCCAGTAGACTATATATATATATATAGATATAGTAAGGAGCCCCCCAAAATATTATTGGTAATTATTTAGGCCCCTATATTAGATAATAGGGTTTAGCGTTTATAGGCTTTGGAGTTGTCGAGTTTTGGGGGGACTTGCAGCTTTCGGCTGCAGGGCTTCAGAAGGGATCGAAAGGGGGTCGGTTCTGGGTTTGAGGGTTTAGGGTTTAGGGTTTAGGGTTTAGGGTTTAGGGTTTAGGGTTTAGGGTTTAGGGTTTAGGGTTTAGGGGGGTTTTAGGGCTTTGGGGTTTAAGGGTTTAGGGTTTAGGGTGGGATGTATAAGGCTCTTTAGCACTCCAAGTTTAGGGTTTATCGGTTTTTAGGCGTGTGTCTGTTGCGTAATTACGGTCTGAAGGCTCAGGGTGCTATCCAAAGAACCTTCAGGTTGCCTTCAAGTAGCAGGCTCTGGGGTTTTATAATGCGTTCACGAGATTTCCGGTTTACTAAACCCCGAACAAACCCTAAACCCCAAACCTTAANNCCAAACCTTAACCCTAAACCCGGTCTACTAATGCTCTGCTGTACAGCCGGTTCCTGAAGTACGTATGATTGTGTCGAGAACCCTGTAGACCTGCACTTGTTGCAGGGCTGACTAACTCTAAATCCTAAATCCTAAACCC